CCCGCGGTCCACGGCGCGTGCGCGTCGCCTGCTGGCGGGGCAGGGGCGGGCCCCAGGCTCTCCTGGGAAATATGAACTGCCCTCCCCAGACAGTCAGTAGCTTCGTCAGCTGTCTTTTAATAGACCAACTTCCTGGCTACATGTGGTCACTTGTAGCCCCCGCGAGAGTTTTTCCCTGAGTTGGCCTGCAGAACTGTACAAGCTGATCTAAATAAAAACCCAAGATGGGACTCTAGAGGAGGCCTTAGGGATTTTAATGAGTGGCCTGGGGATTTTCCCTTTGTCTTTTTCCTGAAGACTTCCATCAAGGTCAGTGATACCCAGCGAATAGAGACGTGAAAACTCCCTTAATGGAGATACAATCCCCCATCCTCCCTCCTCCCGCCCACAAAAATGGAGAACGGAAACTACAGGTCTAATAATCAAACAGACATGAGACAAGATTAGCAAAAGAAAATGACCAAATTTCATTACATATATATGCATGGGAACCCCACATACTTGAGAGAGTCAAAGACCCCGTATACATGAGAGATTCAGGGAGAGAAAGAGAAAATGGGTATATAGACAGTTCTGAGCTAAAGATGAGGTAAGGCACCTTAGGGCTTCAGAAGGAAATTGCAGGGAGAGCACATGTTCAGTAATTATAAGTTTGCCTTGCCATACAAATAGGTCATAAAAAGTTATTTCTGGTGATAACTGTTATCATGGGTCAGGCTCGTAACTTAAATTCTTCTGGATAGTTGAGGAGGGGAAGACATGTTTCTCTTGAGCCCACAGAGTCTCAGTTGCTTTTAGCTCAAAATCATCCTCATACCAAAGAGACACATCTTGGGATAACTTATTCTGAACTCCTACAAGGTGTTGGGCAAAATACTACCTGTACTTTATTTTTATGAGCGATGTTGTGAATAATCTAATATTTAAGTGAAAGTGACCACAAGGATCAGAAAAGTTAGCCTTCATTTCCAGATAAAATAACTAAATCTAAAATATATTTTTCATGATTTGCTTATGTTGTCATTACACTAATTCAGCAGAAGCAGAAGGCAGTGTAGTTACACTCCAGGCATGTCCTCCCCATTCCCCATCCTCCACCTCTCTGCTTTATTTTTTCTTCAGCTCCTAATATCTGCTCTCCCTAGTCTCCATCTTAGATGCCACCTCCTAACCTTTAATCTAGAATCTCTGTGCCAGCTGACTAAAGGGCAGGGCCCACATCTGATTCCTCTCTACACTTCTGCAGTACAACTTCACTGCTCCTAACACATGGTGGGCGATCTGTTGATTGTTCCCAGATGAATGAACCAATTCTATCATATTGACTAGTTCTTACTGTTATGAACTCAGGTTTGTCCCTGCCCCCTGCAAATTAATATGTTGAGGTCCTAACCCCCAATGTAATGCTGGGGCCTTTAAAAGTAATTAGGTTTAGATGAAGTCATGAGAATAGCGCTCCCATAATGGAATTATTGTCCTTGTGAAAAAAAGAGACACCGGAGTTCTCTCTCTCTACACACACCACACTACACTACACACACACACACACACACACACACACACACACACACACACACACGCACACACAGAAGGTCATATGAACACACAATGAAGTATTGGAGTATTGGCCCTTTGCAAGCCAAAAAGAAGAACTTTACCAAAAATCAAATCTGCCAGAACCTTCATCTTGGACTTCCCAGCCTGCAGAACTCTGATAAATAAATGTCTGTTGTTTAAGCCACTCAATCAACTTTGTTAGAGCAGCCCTAGTTGACTAAAACACTTCCTTTGCCAAGAACTACCCTACGTATCTTTACATCTAAGGTCCTATTTATGTCCTAACTTGCTGAGATCAGGTGACCCTTATTATCACCCAACTTGTAAACAAGGGCTCTAAGGCTCAGAGAAAGTAAATGATCATCCCACAGACACTCAGAAGGATAGGATGGAGTTCAAATTGGGTAATTAAGGCTTCAGATTTTGTACGGAGGACCTAAAATATATTTGTCAATTAACTAGAATCAGAGAATGTTAGAGACAGAGGAGCCTTTAGCTCAACCCCATAGTATAGGCATTAAGAAACCCATGCCCAGAGAGGATCATGACTCTCGACAGCTCCTGGCAGAGCCCAGGTGCCTCATACTCCCTCTGGCTGCAGAACAACACCAGGGATTACAAGAGAAGTGGCCAGAGACAAAGGATGCATGAGGATTAAGGGAGAAAACTAGCTTCCACAGGAGAATCACATAGTAGCAAAATTGGACAAAATTCCCACTACCTACTGGTCTTACATGTCCTAGCTGTATTGGTGGGCCCTTGGGAGAAAGCAAGAGAGGAGAGAGCAAAGGAGATATAAATAAAAGAGAGAGTTATAGTTCAGAGAGAAGAGGGATATGAAAAAGCAAGAAGTATTGGCTAACGAGGGGACACATGTCAACATCCTTTCCCTCTCTGTCCGGAGACTCCCACAGGTGGGGCTTCAGGAGTTCTAGGAAGGAGGGACCTGAGAAGAGAGAGAGTAGGGCTGCCTGGGGCTTCGATACTCAGAGTGGTTTCCTAGTGAGCAGCACTGGCATCATCTGGGAGCTTATTAGAAATACAGAGTCTTAGAGCCCCACTCCAGACCTACTGAATCTGTATTTACAATTTAACAAGATCCCTGGGTGATATATACGCACAATGAAGTCTGAGAATTACTTCCTTCACCCTGCTTGCAGAGAAAGCAGTGTTTTATTAGGTTTATGTGTGTGAGATGGTGTAAGGAAATTGATGAAGAAAAGGTATGGGGGACGAGGAGGACAACTAATGCTCCCCAAGTAGGCCTTTAGTGTCATCATGGTGCCTTCCAGGATAATGAAAGATTGGGAGAGACTGGAAATGCCTATGGGGAACCAGTGAGGGACTAAAAT